TTAAATATAACTCTATCAAACTTGTGGTATACAAAGCATAATGTGGAGGGAGACAACTACAAGTTAGTTAAATTTGGTACCTAATTGCAACCCTCACGTTTCCTAGTCATCGTCTTTTTAAAACATTAGCCCCAATTAACTCTTGACCTAGTGGTGTAGCGAGCACTTCATCAACCATTATGAACACGAGTGGCTGATAGTTGGTATCGTCAGAGAAGGAGCTAAAAGTATAGGCTTTGACGTCCTTATATTATTATTCACAAATGAATTGAGAATTATTTTAACTGATATTTTCAATTCCGATTTAGTTGAAGCGTCGATATTGGTAACTTTTTTCCTACTAATTGAAATGGGCCTTGACAACATGGGCCGTTTAGGCACACCTCATTGTATTGGGCCTTTTGCTCTAGCACTAGATAAGGCCCAATGGATACTTTTGAAACCCATATCCACATGGATCATAAAAGACATGAGCCCACATATATAATAGAGCAAATTTCACATATAGTAAACATAAAAATCATATTTGTATGTTATAGCTATAGTCTGCATAATTGCGCTCCATAGCAAATTTTATGTTTGCTATGGAGCTTTTGATTTGTATAATTCGCAAGATACATCCAATTTTTTATGCATTGTAATTTGTATGATAAGATATGAATTTGTATAATTTTAAGTGTATAGGACGAAAATATATGTATTTGTATATACACTTTTCTCTCGCTTTATACAAATACAAACGCATTTTATACATTTTATACCGAAATGTATAAAATGACTAATTGTATACTGAATCAGATGGCAAAAAAATAGAATGTTTGTTGCGAATTACAAATAAAATAAACTATGGCTATAACATTTAATTTGAATTAATAGTTTGCTATTTCATACAATTTTCCCTATATAATGACTATAAGGATTGAATTAAGCATTTTACATGGGTTTTACTTAGGGATAAGGGTCTGAAATATACCCAACTTTGGTCGGATTTGCTGTTGCGATACTAAACTTTCACGAGGACCTATTACCTCTCTAGACTATTTAATACCGTATTTTTTACCCCCTGAACTATTTAATACTATTTAATACCGTATTTTTTACCTCCTGAACTATTTAATAGTGTATTTTAAAGGTATATATGTGCCCACGTGGACACATTACTATTTATAATTTTGCATTATTTTTTATGTCCACGTGGGCAAATATATATATTTAAAATACGGTATTAAATAGTCTAGGGAGGTAATAGGTCCTCGTGAAAGTTTAGTATCGCAACAGCAAATCCGACCAAAGTTAGGGTATTTTTCAGACCCTTATCCCTTTTACTTATATACACACAATAATAAAAAATAATATTGAATAAGAAAATGTATTAACTAAACTAAATTGTTCATCTTTGCAGGTTAAAATAATATCAAATTATTTTGAATTCAATTATTGTGTTAGGTATAGTAACACTCATTTCTGTCGTTTAAATGAATACTAGATATGAGACCCCGTGCTAGCACGGGGCCCAATATATGTTACTGTTTCTGTTTCAATTTATGTGGTACATATGAAATTTGAAGTTAATCAATTTTTTAGTATGTTTTTATATATTTTAAGTTGCTAATTATTTTTATTTAGAGTATGTTTTACGTAAATATATTATAAATCACAATAATTAACAAGTTAATATAATAAGAAACTTATAAAAAATTCATTGACTTTTGAAATTTCATTTGTATCACATAAATCAGAACAAAGTGAGTAATATATATGAAAATTACATAAAACGTATTATAACTCACAATAATTAGCAACTTAAGTTAGTTTGAAATATATAAAATTTAAATTTTAAATCCATCATTAATAATTGTCACATCATATACCAAATATGTATTGACCACCACATGGAATGTTATTCTCTTTATTTTATTAACGGAAATTTTATGGCATTAAATGATATGGATCAATATATATAATGTTCTCTTTTTTAAAAAAAATAAAAATAAATTATATTTTAGTTATTGACATTGTAAATTTTAACTTAATTTGGATATATAATGGAAAAGGAATCACCATTTAAGGAATCATTATTTTTAAATATTTTGATAATTTCTTCTTCTAAAAGTTTCTATCCATATGTAACAATAAAGTTAAAATAGAAAATGTAGTGACACCATTCTTAGTAATAGATACTTATTTATTCTTATCAATTTTTTCTGACAATTTTGATTATATTTTTCTTTAAAATAATTATTGCCTCGATTTTTATTTTTAATTTTAATTTTAAAAGATTGGAAATTTTATGTTAAAAATTTAAATAATAGAAAAAATGATTTATTTAACTTTTATCATCATCAATACTACTAATTTATTTGACGTTTTTTCTTAATCTTCATCTCATCATTAATGTTATTTATATAATTTTCTTAAATCACTTATTTTTTCTTTTTTAACTCTTTT